TAGGCAGCATAGGTTTAAGAGGCAAGGCTGTCTCATCTGTACATCCTAACTGAATAAATACAGCTTTTAATGTTTGTATTCATCATTAAATACTGTATGTTGTCATTGCACTATACTTAGGCCTGATGAAACTATCCTGGATAAAGTATCGTTCTGTATTGTTCAGTGGTAGGCCAGGCTTGACTTATTGCAGTTCGCAAGCTTGCACAGAATTTAATATGGAGACACTCACCTGGCATGAATTGTTATTGATCTGTAGCCTACCTCTATTTATGTTACAGTTGTAAAGTACGGCGTGTGCCTTTTCACAGTATGATTTTCAGGATTAACGTTACGCATGGAAAAACCGATTCGTGTGTACAGCAGATTTCTGGATTGTTTTCGTTGTAGAGACACGGTCTTAAGATCTACACAGTGCATTCTTTGTTTTGTCTGCGGGTTATTTTTAAACGGCAGTCCCAGTTTTGCGAACACACTCTTCAGCCAAATGCGCTTTTAATGTGGTTAGATTAGATTGAGAGGAAGGCGGTATGCGGTTTTGACGTCACTGCCACTCCTAAACGGAGACGTGGAGTCGTCTTCATAAAACATTCTCCAAAAAAAAAAACTGCGTAAATGCGGTGAAGAATCGGTCCCAAATTAATTCACAAAGCCTTTTGCGGTGCAGGGGACCTGTGAGACGATGACACTAGTCTGGCCTACACAGTGCAAAGTGCAGCGGAATGCGCAAGTAAAACAGACTTCATTTTATAGATTCTCACAGCACATAACTTCCCAATACAGGTCAGGTTTGTAGAAAATTTTCGTTCCTCACACAAGACAAAGTGATGCAGTAAATTTACAATATTGAAGAGAATTATTGAAGTCTTTTTAAAGTTATCGCAGTGTGTCCAGTTAATACACACTTTGTCACACACAAGACACACAACACATCTCTTTCTTTAACACACACACACAGGCAAATAAGCAACAAAATAAAAAGAAAAACATCAGTTCTAAGAACCACACCTAAAATGCCAAAACACTTTTTTTTGCTCATCCAGACTTGACTTGCAGTGTCTGGGCCAAGCAGATGTCAACAGTGTCATCTTCCTGGAAGAGAGAGAAAAAAAAACAGAACCCGTCTACATTTTCTGAATTTCCGTGGTAATTAAGTTTGTATGTGTTGCGTCTGGTTACGCAAGCATTGCTGCGGTGAACTTCAGGTCACTCTTGTTAGCCTGGGTAAATTGGTTACTAAAGCAAACAGAGATTTCAAGCTGGTCTCAGAAGAACTTCATATTACATTAAGGTATATCACTGCTGTAGTCCAGGAATAGGTCATCCACAGCAGTCCGCTGGACTGATTTTGATCATGTCATTTAAAAGTGATCAGCCATCAGTAATGCATATAGAAAAACCAAATAAAAAGCTTCAAAAGCTGTGAATTTTTGTTTAACCAAGGGCACTGATGTAAAAAACAAAGTCAACAGACAGGATACGCCCAGATATCCTTGTACCCACAGAAGAAGAACCTCCTGCTTTCTGTCTGTTCCATTAGACCAACCAGCGCAAGAACAAAGTGTTACACTGAAGTACCTTCCAGCTGTCATGACACAAAAAATACACTATTATTCACCTGCTTAGAAAGCTTACACAATGTTCCTTAGCATTTAATAGACTATCCATCTTTACACCATTGAAGTTTCAGGTTAAGTTCCTTGCCGAACGGTGCAGCAGGAGGGCTCCACCCGAGGTTCACACCTGGACACGAGCCCAGCTCCTGCTGTGCGGCCTGGGATGGTCATTACCTGGCCACAGGGACACAGCAGGTGAGTGCAGAGGCAGTGTTTCTGCAGCGCGGAGGACCACAGGCAGACGGGCTCCCCCACACCGGGCCGCGGTCCAGGGGCAGCCACGCGGCGGCGGCTCGGTGACGTCAGCGGCCTCCCAGGTGCTCCAGCCTCCGCACCTCGCCCCCGCGCTCTCCCGCTGCGCTGCGTTTCGCCCGCCCGCGGCCTGACTCGAGCACGCTCCGCCCCCCTCGCCCACACGTGTGTGTGGGGATGTCGTGTCTATGTGCGTATGTGTGTGGAAGTGATATATGCATATGCGATGCGTGTGCGTATGAGTATTTGTATGTGTGAGTTGAAGCATGAGAAATGTGTAGATGTAGTGTGTGTATGTGTTATTTGTGTGTGAGTGATACAAGTATGTACAAGTGATGTATGTGTGAGTGTGATGTAAGTATGTAAGTGCTGTTTGTGTAAGTAATGTATGTGTGAGTGAGTAATTTAAGTGTGTAAGTGCTATTTGTGTGTATAAGTGGTATGCGAGTGTGTATGAGTAATATAATTGGCTGTAAGGGATATAAGCACTCAGTTATGGTCTGCCATAGAGGTAAACGCTGAGGTGCTGTCGGTGTTATAGACGTCACTCTGTGCGGGCCCGGAAATTAATTTTCGTGTACAGCAATTTGGATGTGTATAGGAAATGGTTACACATCCTGGTGTGAAGTGCTTTTTGCAAGATGCGAGAGAGTCTATAAAAAGCATTCGGTTTCAGAGAGAGCGGAGAATGGACATGCAGATCCAAACGCCCACGTGGGCTTCCGCAGAGACAGCACTTTACCCAGAATTCCCTTTAAACACATTAAAGCAGCCTGTGCTCTCAGTGGTTCTATTCTGAAGTGATTGGAATGTGTGACATCATAATGCCACACATTCCACATAGAAAGCTAGACTTAATAGCAGGAACACTGAAAGTTTGATTCCCAGTTGCGGCACTATTGTAATCCTTGAACTGAGTGATTGCGCTGAATTGCTTTAGGTAAATATTCAGCTATATATTTGGATAACATGTAAATTGTAAGCTCTGTAAGTTGCATAAGAAAGTTTGCCATGTAAATGATTAAATGACCTTGTGTGCACTGAACATCCCATTCCATTCATTCTTTTGACTGGATTTCAACGTTCAAGTGTGAAAGAATGGAGTGAGGGGTAGTGTGATGAGAACATCGTATGATTTATTGGTATTTGCTTAGCAAATGCTCTCATACAGGAACACTTGCATAGCTTCCTTTTTACATACTTTTGCCAACGCAGCAAGATAATGAATGAGGTAAGTCATGTTAAATACCTGGCTAAAGGCTACAAAGACAGCCTCCCATGTGTTTCAAACCTGAAACCTTTGGATTACAAGGTGAGGTCCCTAAGGCTATGTCACATTGCTGCCCCTAAAGGCCTCATGGAGATGCCTTTTCAGCAGCCACCTTAGAGACCCCTAGTGGCCACTGTCAGAGCTGCGGGCCATTTCACCGTTGAACTCCCCATGGCAGTACTTTGCACAAGGCTCAGCTGAGAAACACTGATTGTATAAATGGTCAGGGACAACTGGCTCGTAGAAGACCTGAATGGTCAAGCTTTAACTGGGGACAAAAGCCAATTTTTAACATCAGTCTTGAATTGTGATAAAATATGAGCTGGGTTTAATGTGTAAGTCATGAGTGGCTGCTTGGTTGATGTAAGTCAAACTCAGCCCACTTTTATGGTCATGACTTTTAGTGGCCTTTTTTGTTGTTATTTCATTTGTTACTTTCTTCAAACAGGAAATGTGTCTCTAGTGCACAGAGAGGCTGCGATATAATTCAGACAGTTCTATTTCCTTACTTCGGCTGAAATTTCCCAGGCATTTTGGGAGCACAGAAACAGAAATTGCCGCCATTCTCTTCTGAGTATCAGGACTTTTAACATTACAAACACAATTAAAATTATGTTAAAATACATGGCCTTGATACCACTGATGGAAACAGACACATTAAGCATGGAGTCCTGGCGAAGTCGCAGCATTTTTTCAGCTGGTCCCTCCTGATCTATAACAAAGCGGTCTGGCTGCCTGCCGATTCATTAAAGAGATGAACCCTGTATCTGAGACAGAGTTTAAAGAAATTACGCTACGTTCTCCAACAATGGTCCCAGTACAACATGGAACCCCTCCAAAATGTGGCCTTTTCCAAACACAGTTTATTACATTTTAAAAAGGACACTGACAAGATTATCTTTCATGGGGCTGTCCCATATGTAGCCCACTTTAACCTTGGATGAATATAAAAATGCAGATTGGTTCCCACTGTCTGATGGAGAAATGATGACATTCTTTGTGTTTGTCATTGAATCACTGCTCAATCTAAGCACTGCTTCTCTCAAAGTACAGTGTTAAAGGAAGTGCTTCATGTTTTTCAGTGCACACATACATGCACTCTCACACACGTACGTGCGTGTCGGATAGTGGCACGAAAGCAGGAGAACACACACGCCCTCTCCTCTTCCCCCCCACGCTCGCCCACACGGAGTGGTCGGAGCAGAACAGACGACACACACTCTCAGTGCCAGCGTGTGCTCTCACGCACACAGCCTCCTACTTCCTGCCTGTCAGACTGACTCATACCCTCAGCGCTGCTGCTCTACCAGCCCAAAGACCGCATGCTTTCACTATTGCCTCTACCAGCCCAGAGCCCAGATACATTCACCATTAGCTCTACCAGCTGAAAGACCAGAGTCATTCGCCTTCAGCTCTACCAGCCCAGAGACCAGATGCACGGGCAGCAGTGTGGTATAATAGTAAGGGGCAGGGCTCATAGCTCAGAGGTTGCTGGTTTGATCCCCTGGGTGGCCACTGCTGTTGTAACCTGGTGCAAGATACATAACCCAGATTGTCTCAGATAAAAATGGTTCGGTGTGTAAAACTATTGCTCTGGATTAGACTGCCTGGTAAGTGGTGCTCACTTACTCACAAGTGTGATGTCATTTGCTCTGCTCTGACGATTCGAAGACCACACACACTCATTTTCACTTTCCTTTATTAATCTCAAAATCTCAATTCCTTGCTGAATTGATAGCTTGAGGTGTTTTAAGAGGACATTACATTAGGTTACAGTAGGTTACAGTTTTATCCATTTATTCAGTTGGATATTTACTGAGGTAATTGTGGGTTAAATACCTTGCCCAAGGGTACAGCAGCAGTACCCAAGCAAGGAATCGAACCTGCAACCTCACGGTTACATGCTCTGCTCCTTACCACTATGCCACACTGCCGCCCCATGTCTTTATTCCTAAACTCCTGTATGTTTGTAATGTATATTGTGCAGCACTCTGGGACAGATACCTTGTTGAGGGGAAAACCTTCAGTAAAGTGTGATTAAGATCTGTGTCCTCACTTCCCACACACTGATGAATCGCTGCAGTCATGAAATGGCAGGAGATTACAAGATGGAGCCACACCCCCCTGTACACGCAAACACACTCATCTGTGCTCAGACACACATAAACACGCACACGTATACAAACACTTACTTGAGCAGATAAACACACACACATACACTCGCTTGTGTTCACACATATACGCACACAAAGACACACCCACAACCATACATATGCACGAGTCTGCCACCCACACAGACACAGACACAGACACAGACACACACACACGTGTACGCAGACACACTCATCCCTATAAACATAAAAACACAGCAGACGCCGGTCCTCAAACTCCTACACAGAATATCAAAAAGGCCCCTCACACAGCTTAACAAGATTTCATGTACATTTATTCTTAACATGTGGAACATATAGTATAAAGATTTATACTGAATAAATGATATTCATCGAGTCAGAGGAAAAGGCGAAATTTACATCAAGTCTTTTGTCATGTTATTTTGAACTATATTATGTTGGATAACAAATATGCACATTTGCATCACTGGAGGAAAAAAAAACCTTAAAACTGGTTCTTCATTTTTTTTGTAACCTTAACTATTAACCACCTGAAAGTAAGACGTTCCACATGTGATTCACAAAGCAGCCACCGGGGTGGTGTCTGCTATAGAGCGGAGAGTACAGGAACCAGCGCCACCTTCGCCTCAGGATATGACCCAAATAACAAAAATATTCATAACATTAACAATAATTATGATAATAATTAAAAACTACCATCACTTTTGTAGTTACCACATCTTTGAAAAACAAAAAACAAAAAAAACAGAAACAAAAGTACAAAGAAAAAAAATAAGGGTATGTCCAATGTACAACTTCTATATACATGAGCCCACACAGGCTGACACAGGAAATTAACGAATGCAATACAGGTAGGAAAGAAACTGGTACTTTGTGGAAGTTTGTTCAAGCTGTAGCTATGATGGTTACTAACAAGGTAGCAAGTCAGATTCTGTAACTGTTAAACAAAAAAGTTGTGTTTTTTTGCCATTTTGTTTATACGCTAATGCAGCACTGCCCACTTGTGGTCGAATTTATGTATTGCATGTTATGGAAAACAATTCACATCTCGTTTTCCTCCATCTGTCCAACTTGCACTAAATCCTATTGCACATTTTTTCAGAGATGGATACATTTACATTTGAGCAAAATCAGTGTTTTATTTTTCTTGACACGCAGCAAATTTTATCTACAATATTTCTCAAAATTTAAATAAATCTGCTTCCCAAAAACAAAACAAAACCACAGAGATACATGTATGTAACATTTACAAAACTCCAAAGCATTTGAAAGGAGCAAGAAAGGACAAAAAGGACAGAACATCCCAAAATCTGACATCAAAACTTTGGTTAAAATAAACGAACAAACAAAAAACACACAAAACATTAATATTAGAAAAGAAAAAAAAACACTTAAAACACAGGAAAACAGCAAGTATTAAATATCTGTATTAAAATTATTTTTTAAAATCCCAAATGAAATTGTTAATGGGGCAGAGGAGCTATATATATATATATATATTTATATATATCATTTGTATATAAAAAAACAAACTTATTTTCTTTTCATTTTAAATAAAAATATAAAACCACCGACCGACAGCGTTCTGCGATTGTGTGTGTGGTCAGTTTGTGGTGCTGGTTTCCCGCTCCTGTCATGTGTGGCCGATCTGGAAGAGCACTTCGCATATGACGGCGGCGACGGCCGAGTTCAGCACAGAGGAGATGGAGATGTCCAGCAGGCGGCTCTCGTAGAGCGTGAACTCGGGCCGGTTCTCCTCCACGCGGGCCAGGGCGAGCAGCGCCTTGGCGGCCCGGCACATCATGCTGACGCTGGGCGGCTCGTGGCCGTGCAGCAGCGCGTGCTGGCTCTGCGCCAGCGCCACGCCGTCCTCCAGGAAGCTGACCAGGCTTCCCACGCTGCCCTTCTGCACGGCGATGCCCCGCGCCGCCAGCGGGTCGCCCCGCGCCAGGTTGGAGAGCGCCGCCACCGCCATCTCGCGGTGCACCTGGTTCTTGCGGTCGCCCACGTAGCGCACGAGCGCGGCGTACAGGCGGTCGTGCCGGCCCGGCGGCGGCGTGGCCAGCAGCAGGTCCACGTTGCCGTCCTGCACGCTCAGCTTGCACAGGCACTCCAGGGCCAGCCGCTGGGGCGTGAGGGCGGAGTGCGGCCCCGTCCCGGGGAACGGGTCCTGCGCCTGCGCCGACGGGCACACCATCCAGTGCAGCAGCCCGTCCAGGATGGGCAGGCAGATGCTCTCCGGGTACAGCGACAGGTCCAGCTGGCCGGCGATATTGGCCAGCGTCACCATGGTGTTCTCCCGCAGCGTGGACAGGCAGTCCCACCACCACTCGTCCTTGCTGCAGGCCAGGCCGCGGTCCTGCTCCCGGTCCCGGTCTCCCTCCCGCTCCCGGTTCTGCCTCCCGGTCTCCCTCCCAGTCCCGGTCTCCCTCTCGGTCTCCCTCCCGGCCCCGGTCTCTCTCGCGGTCTCCCTCCCGGTCTCTCTCCCGGTCCCGGTCTCCCTCTCGGTCTCCCTCCCGGCCCCAGTCTCTCTCGTGGTCTCTCTCTCGGTCTCTCTCCCGGTCCCGGTCTCTCTCGCGGTCTCGCTCCCGGTCCCGGTCTCGGTCCCTGTCTCCCTCCCGTTCTTGTTCGCAGTCCCGCTCCCGGTCTCCCTCGCGCTCCCGGTCTCCCTTGCGCTCCGGCTCCTGCCTCTCGTAGGTGTGCGCGGCCCGCTTCCTCTCCGGGTGCTCGTGGTGCAGCAGGACCAGCCTCCCCAGGATGAGCACCAGGCCCGGGTGGCGGGCCATGTCGGCGTCGTTGCCGGGGACGAAGGAGAGGCCGCGCAGGATGTTGGAGACGCAGACGCAGCGGCGGGACAGCGAGTCCTGCCAGGCGGCGGCGGTGGACAGGGGCGCCTCGTCCAGCGCGCGGGGCTCGTCCTCCAGCAGGGTAACGCGCCGGCTCTGCTCCTGGGACAGGCGGAAGGGGTACGTGTCGGACAGCGCCCCCGCGCGGGCACACAGCACGTCGTCGATGGTGGCCGTGACGCTCCGCGCCGGCTCCCCGCTCCGCGCTCTCCTCCCGGCCGCGGCGCCGGTGCGGGTCTCCGGCTCGCTCCGGCTCTCGAAGTGCGTCTGGATGTGGGCGGTGGAGTCGCCCCCGCCTGCCTGCCAGTGCAGCAGGCCGCTGGTGAACTCCTGCACCTGCCCCAGCTGCTCCCACGCGTCCTGCACGAAGTCGCCCTCGGCGGGGACGATCTTCACGGGCAGCCTGTCGTACTTACTGGCCTGTTTGGGCCTGGGCTCCGGCTCTGGGGAAGACTGTTCGGAGGGGCTCTCGCCGCTGCCCGCCCCCTGCTCTCCCTCCTCCTCCTTCACGCTCACCTCCGCCTGCGGCTCCTCTCTCCTCAGGGCTGGGACCGCCTCCTCTCTGCTGGGCGTGGCCTCCTCGGGCCCCGCCTCTCGGTGCTCCTCCTTCAGCTCTTCCTCTGCCTCACAGTCACATTCATGGGGAGGAGACTCCGCCCCCATCTTCTGCTCAGGGGCGGGGCCCAGGAGGGTCTTCTGGCCAATCGTACCCACCTCATATTCCTCGAGGATCCCGAAGATCTCAATCACACACCTCCTGAAGTACTCCACTAGCAGCTCCAGGAACCCTGGCAACTGAGAGACCATGCATTCCACATTAAAATCCCCTCTTCCATACATTAACAGTGTCACATGTTTAGCTACAGACTTTATACTGTGTAGGCAGCTGTGTAACTACAATGGAATGTGGAACATGGAATGTGGAATGTAGAATGGGTTTGTGGATCAAGTATTAGGTTCTCAAAAAATCTGAGTTAATGTAACCTAAAAATAACTCTGAAAATAATAAAAATATGTTTATACTGTCTCTACTTAAGAGATTATTCCATCATCTGAATTAATGTAACCAAGTAAACTAGTGCAGTTTAGAGGTGCATGCCTGTGTGTTGGTCCATGTATGTGTGTCTGTGAGTGTGTGTGTGCATGTCCGTGTGTGTGTGTGTGCGTGCGTGCGTGCGTGTGTGTGCGTGCATGCCCGTGTGTGTGTGTGCGCGTGCGTGTGTGTGCGTGTGTGTGTGTGTGTGTGCCTGTGTGTGTGTGTCTGTAAGTGTGTGTAAGTGTGTGTGTGTGTGTGTGTGTGTGAGTGTGTGTATGCCCGTGTGTGTGTGTGTGTCTGTGAGTGTGTGCGCGTGTGTGTGTGTGTGTGCATGCCTGTGTGTGTGTGTGCGTGTGTGCGCGCATGTGTGTGTGTGTGTGTGTGTGTGCGCGTGTGTGTGTGTGTGTGTGTGTGTGGGTACCTGGATGAGGCTGAAGGATCCCACTGTGCTGTCGTCGTGCAGCAGGATGCTGATGGTGTCCAGAGCCCAGGTGCTCTCTGCCAGCAGACCCGACTTCAGCGACATCATCACACGCCACGCCTCCGGCGTTCCTACGGAGACAGCAGGGAGTCAGGAGCGCTGCAACATCTGCTGAACTACACCGTACTTTCTGCCAAAAACTGATCCAGGCTCAGCTTGCACACCCAGCATCCTGTTGCCAACTACTGTGTGCATATCACAGACGCAGAGTCAGAGTCAGTGGCAGGCACTGTCTACACCAAGACTGCATAAGGCCAAGAACAACCACCACAGACTTCATTCTGGCCCTCTGATCATTCAGAAATACAAAAATATAAATTATTCATATGCATCAAAAATGCCTGGAATTCCAACCTAACATTACTTTCTATGTACAGGGCATTGGCACTGTGGAGTAGATATAGTAACCCATTTTTGGCACTATTTTTCGTATTAATTA